CACGGTGAAGATTGGTACATGACACTCAACAAGACGACAGCTGGAAGCAGGCGTGCCCCAGGGGTCAGCCTTAGCCCCCCTGCTCTACAACATCTATACTCACGACGTACCGAAGACAGCTGACACAATGCTGGCCCTATATGCAGACGACACTGCTATCGCCGCTAAGCATCTACGACCCGAGATCATCCGTAGGAGACTACAGGATGAACTGGACCACATCCAGGACTGGTGCGTGAAATGGAAAATCCGCATCAACGTAAAGAAGACGCAGGCAATCTTCATCCAACGAAGAAGGATTGCAAGACCTCTCGAAGCATCCATCTTCGACGAAGATATCCAGTGGAGCGACAAAGTCAAATATCTGGGGATCGTATTTGACAAGTCCCTCACCTGGAAAGACCACATAGAAGCTGTCATCGCAAAGACCAGAGCAGCCATGGCTCAACTCTACCCAATACTGGGTAGACACAGCCGGATGCCGCTAGCGTCCAAGCTACGGCTGATCAAGGCCATCGCCAGACCTCAGCTCGCTTACGCCTCCGCGGTCTGGGGGTACGCTGCTCTAGAGATGAAGCTACTCCGGATCGCCACCAATCGATCCATCCTACGTAAGAAACTCAACCTTGCGTAGAGACCTGCATTGGGACACCATTCACGAGTACATGAGGAAAAAAGCGGAGAAGACCTTCCAGAAAGCTCAGGACCACCCGAACGAGCAGCTACGATTCCTCATGAACTACGATCCGGACGAGAGGCCTCGCAACCGCAGAACCAGGTACCCTAGACCAAGGTCCCAGTTGGCAGACGCTAACTGGAACCTTGACTAGGAGTACCCGCGGTTGCTCTCCCCTTCCCCCTCCACGGCGTGGATGCAGAGGACCAGGAACCACCGGGACCAGGACCCACCGGAACCAGGACCAACCAGGACCAGGACCAGGACCAATATATAGGTAAGGGGACTTGAAACTCTTGATTTTTCGAAAACAAGAGTTTCAAGAGAACCTAGCAGACCCTCTATCGATGATCGCTTAACAACATCGATAGAATGTGCGAGGTAAAGGGAACCAACCCGGCGTTCCCAGAGACTGAAACACATGAGGAGACGTTGTAGCAGACCGCAGGTCACGCACAACACATTAGGTGGCCTCCTCAAGACAACCTGGAGTCCCACACACGCCGTAGCTCGGGCTATGGTATGGTGCATAAACGCATTCCCCCCTCACAAAAAAAAATAAATAAAAAAAAAATGCTGGAATCTGGAATCCGTTCAGTAAGCCCCAAAGGATGCAAGGACTAGGATGCTTTGTTTTTCAATAAAGCCAAACCAATACGTAATATTGGATATAATAAACTAATCCAAATAAAATAAATCTTTTCATCGAGAAAAGTGGAGATTTTTAACCCCCTTCACGGAAATTTAAGTTTCTTGATCTTTGAAGAAGCGAACCCACATCATTTTTTTAGATTGGAGATTGCAGTTACGCCCCCTAGCGGCTATTTCAGAAACTTAAAAATATTTTCCAGGTTCCAGCCTCTGCGTTGGATCGCTTCCCAGATACAGTACCTCGCATTCTTAGTTGGCCAGCCTGTACATCAAAACATAGAAAAGCGGAGGAGGAATTGGCTTTTCACTTACACCTCTAACATTTAAGCAAAAATACAGTTTTTGTAAACGAGAGTTTATTTCCATAATATTCATGCCTTATTACGAATAATATTCCAATGAGTATCATCGCTATAACAGATGATATACAGGGTGTTCCATAATTATTGCGACAAAATGATAGGGGTTATAGAGGGCATAAAAATATGCAATTTTGCCTTATAAACCCCTGTTCGTAAATATGCCGTTTGAGCACTACAGTTAATTTTACCTTAAGAGCTCATAGGAGAAACAAAAAATTCAGCAGCTGCAAAATGTTCGTCTAGCACATTTCATGGTCTCGCCGGTTTGTAAAAAAAGCCTGCTGTGTTTACATTTTTGTTATCGTACACCCGTACCACCTTTTAAAAGTCCAAGCCATGGGTCCAGCAGACTATCTGCCGCGTCGACGTTTTTGTCGTTGGTGGCTGCAGCAGGAGTTGAGGCAACCAAACTTTGGTCGCTACGTTTTGTTCACTGACGAGTCCTGTTTTACAAAGGACGGTTATTTTAATAGCCGTAACAGTCACATTTGGGATGAAGAAAACCCTCATGCCATAGCCATCCATAGAGACCAACATCAGTTTTCAATTAACATCTGGTGCGGCATTGTGGACGAGCATATCATCGGGCCATATCTGCTTCCACCACGTTTGGATGGGCATGCTTATGGTCGATCCTTACAGCATGTGCTACCGGAACTATTAGAAAATGTGCCACTGAATATAAGAGCCAACATGTGGTTTCAACACCATGTCGGTCCAGCCCACTTTTCTTTACAAGTGCGGCAGTATTTGGACGACAAATTTCCAAATAGGTGGATAGGCCGAGGTGGCCCTGTGCCTTCGCCTGCGCGGTCACTTGACCTGACCCCACTGGATTATTTTATCTGGAGCTATCTGAAAGCTTTAGTGTACGAAACTCCTGTTCCCAACCAACAAGAGCTACTGGGAAGAGTGATGGCCGCGTCCGCACATGTTCAGGACATACCGGGGGTATGCCACAGAGTTCGCCGATCATTGAACAATCGTGCACAGCTGTGTATTGAGCAAGGTGGAGGACACTTTGAGCAATTACTGTAGGTAAGCTGTTTCAAGAAACTGATCTTTTTTTTTGCTGCAGCCCAAACGGCATATTTCCGAACAGGGGTTTATAAGGAAAAATTGTTCATTTTGATGCCCTCTACAACCCCTATCATTTTGTCGCAATAATTATGGAACACCCTGTATAACAAGAAAAAATGCAACACATATCTTCCCTTAATACAGAAGGAAATGACAGATCACAACACCTTCAGGGTTATGTGTTATTCTATGTTTGCAAAATCTTGCTAATGTATACATACAAAGTTCCTCATATGGAGTTATATCTAGTTAAATATGTATTACAGGCAGAAATTTCATTGAGAACAACTTTTTCATATATACAATATTTGTATCAAAGCATAGTTCATTAGACTGTGAGGCAAAAAGGTCCTATCAGCCTACCTACATATATTTCGATGATATAGGGCATTTTTATACAGGTATGTACGAACATATTGTTATTTTGTTTTCAATGTTATTGTTCAAATGTCATTTTTGAGTAATAACCAAGGACAATGAGTAAAATGAAAACGGAATTTGGTGTTGCGACCAAAGATCGTATGCGTTTCTTTTATAAATTGGCGTCAAGTAGGTTCCTACCTTGGCTACCAGTTCATAAAAAATTATATTCAGCACAATTTAACACCTCATAGAAAGAAAATACTTACATATTGTATAATGAAGGAATTAAACGGATCAGATACGAGCCCTGTTTCGGTGAAGTTTGTCCAACGCACCAAAACATATTTGTGAATTAATTTGAGGGCTAATTAAAATTTATTTCAAATATGTGTTATATTTTTGGTTTCTTTAAATGTTCATGGAAAGGTAACAAAGCCGACGCGGCTATCTTTAAAGAGTTTTATTTCAAAATTGTCTTCTTTGCAAAATGATTTGCGTATAGCAAGTTGAACGGTCTGTTTATTCGCTTCGACAAAATAAAGGTAGGCTTTGTAAAACATTTAGCATTGGTGAAAATTATTAAAAATGGCTCGAGGTAAAGCTATTTCTCGCGAAATTGCAATTTAAAAGCCCAAAATGCTTCACAAATCGCTGACAGTGTTAACAAATCAAGGTATACATTCAGTGTGAAATATTATTAAATTGTACAAAACAACGGGATCAGTGACTCAAAATCAAAGATCTGGAAGTCGCTCGCGTTATTTCAATACCAATTTAAAAGCCTTAAAACGGATTATCAAGAAAAATCGGCGTGATAATTATAAAATTGAAAATATGGGATCAGGCAACCACAAAAAGGTTTTCAAAAGCAACTTGTCACAAAGCTGCCCAAAAACTAGGATTTAAAACTTACAAGGTAGTCTTAAATTATTTTATGATTCGTTTTAAAAAAGGAATTTCTAGGCAAAAGAGAAGCCCTTAGGCTGGAAATAGTGCTGGACCGACGGTCAGCGCTGACGTCGGTCGGTCGTAGCTATATTTATGCAAATGTATGATCGCGTATACTGCTGCGCTGATAATTTGCTACGCGCCTACAGCTACGTCGGGCTGACGAAAATGGTCGGTCGGGCTCGTCCGTTCGGCGTACGTCGGTCGACCGACGAGCTATGAGAATGTATGAGTGGAAATAGTTCTGAACCGATAGTCAGCGCTGAAAGAACGATCGAGAGCACGTGCTTAGATACAGTGACTGCAAAAATGAATATGAATATTGATACGGAAAGACTTATAACTGAGGTACGCCTTCGTCCATCACTGTGGGATTTGTGTTGTCCATTGTACAAAGACCAGGATGCCAGAATAAAAGCTTGGCAAGAAGTATGCCAGGAACTAATTCCGAATTTCAACGATCAACCCACAGCGAGAAAAAGACTACAGGTAAGTAAATAAAACATCATCATGGTCGTAAAGTATGATTTAATTAAAAGATACAAGCATTTTGCCACGGTATACAACCATCAGGAGAAACGAAATAGTTGGCAAATTTGTCCCTTATTGCATCACCTGATCTGATATTACTGTTTGCATTATGACGAAGGTCATTAAAGCCTACAATAGTTAGTGTGTCCTGTATTCTGTATCCATCCCGTTCTCGAATGTAATTATGTAAAACGCAACAAGCCTTTATGATTGTTGTGGTATTTGGTAGGGAAGTATTCATTGGTATGTGAAATATCTTAAATTTATTACTCATTATTCCAAATGTAGACTCAATATACCTCCTAGCACGGCTTAATCTATAATTAAATATTTTTTCTTATGGGTCAGATTACTGCGTGCATAAGGCCTTAAAACTTTGTTCGATATACCAAAAGCGGCATCCCCAATAATCATGTATGGGAGTGGTTCTGTAGTGTGCGGTAGTGGTTTTGGTGGAGGCAATATTATTTCACCGTTTTGTAATTTGGTGAATAATGAACTTCTCCGAAAAATATTTGAATCAGAATCTGTTCCACATGCCCCTACATTTATATAGGTAAAACGATAGTCGGAATCACACATAGCCAACAGGACTACAGAGTAAAATTTTTTATAATTTGAATTCAGACTTCCACTATGGTCAGGACAAATTATTCTGACGTGCTTTCCATCTATACAACCGATGCAGTTAGGAAAATTTGCTACAGTTTCAAAACCGGCAGCTATTTGCAGCCACCCTTCCTGTGTTTTAGGTATCGAAAGACACTCTTCATACAGTAGAGACCAAATGTTCTTAGACACTTCTTGTATGATATTACCGATAGTAGCCGCCCCTATACGCAAGCTAAAATGCAGATCTTCATATGTGTGACCTGTCACAAAGTATCTGAAACAATAAAACAAATATTAATTTTTTTTACAGAATAACAAGTGCAGCAGAGGTGGAAAACTGCACGAGACGCCTATACGAGATGCAAGGCTGCATTAAACAACATACCGTCTGGATCTGGAGGTGTGAGAAAAAAGAAATATGTTTATTTTGAGATTATGAAATTTCTAGATAAAACACAACTGAATACCGAGGATTCAATTTTGCCGAATACATACGCAAATGAGGAGCCACTCCAAAATGCAACTGCTCGAAGCAACGGAGCTGTCGAATCTCTACCTGCTCAAAATGAAGGGAGTGTTGAATCTCAACGTACCACTTCCGATGACTCTAACATTAACCAAAACAGTCAAAGATCTGCCTCTAGCCGTGGACGGAAAATGATGACATGGCATTCTTTTTTTCTCTGTTGCCAATTACCAATACTTTTAATATCACGCAAAAAATTATGTTCCGTCAAGAGGTGTTACAAAAAGCCCTGGCCATTTCTAATCTCACCTTAGACCGCCCAGGAACATCACATCCGACTGTCACGATGTTCCCAGCAGTACCTCCTATTCAAACAATTACCAGCCCGTCAAATATTCAGCAATTGGATTTGGTAGAGGAACCTGCATCTCAGCAAACTATACAGACTCAAGACTGTGTTTATTCTTTAATAAATTTATAACAACTTACATTACTTGTTTATTTATGGTGCGTGTAAGGGATTTTGATATACAGTGTGTTATGGGCCTGTGCGTTACATTGCTCGAAGAAAAGCCTGCACGCCAGTAGCACATGTTATTACTTATTAAGGAAAAAACTAAGTACTTACCTTAAAGTTACGGCTAATCTTTCAATAGGTTGGATAGGAACACGAAACATATTGCAATGTTTCAAATTATCTTGTAACCTTGCTTGTAGTTCGTCGAAACTTCTGATGGACATCTTGAAATAATCAAAAACTTTTCCTCATCTTCTTGCAATCTCCAAAATAGTTTGCAGAATTCGCCCTCAAGTAACCGTTCCATAAGTATTGGATGTACATGATATCTTCTTCGCCTCCTTTTATTCCGTCGTGAAAAATAGTTTGCACAAATTAGAGCATTTACAGCAAAATACATTTTTTTGTCCACTGTACATATGCGTCTCCGTTCGCCGTCACCGTAGCACTAAATACATTTCCACAACCGACGGTCGGGGTTGACGATCCTAACGTACCAACAATGCTAGTGTAGTGCAGTGCAAATGGGTAATGAAAAAGAAATTAGATTGTGACAATAAAGTGAGGTATCGTGCACGACTCGTTACCCAATTTTTTACACAGCAACAAGGTGTAGATTATCAGGAAATTTTTTCTCCAGTGATTAGGCATTCAACCTTGCGCTTACTATTTCCTTTGAGTGTGCAAGTAGGAATGGAAATAACTCATTTAGATGTCACAACAGCATTTCTTAATGGTTATTTAAAAGAAAATATTTTTATGCATTTGCCAGAAGGTTTTCCTATCAAAAATTCAAACAAAGTGCTAAAATTAAAAAAGGCTATCTATGGATTAAAGCAATCATCTCTTGCTTGGTATCAAAGAGTAGATGAAACTTTGTGTAATTTAGGGTTCAGTAAGAGCAATCTAGAGCCTTGTGTGTTTATAAAAAATCATACTAACAATAAGAAAACTATTGTTGGAGTTTATGTTGATGATTATAATATTTTCGAATAATAAGCTTGAAACTGATAGTTTAATAGAAGCTTTAAGTCAGAGATTTAAAATAAAAAATCTAGGTCAAGTCAAACGATATCTAGGTATGAGAATTTGCATAGATAAAAGTTCAAATGTAATAACTGTAGATCAAGAGAGTTATATTGAACAATTGCTTGAGAAATTTGACATGATTGAGAGTAATATGGCTAATACTCCTATAGAATGTAAATTAAATATAGAGAGGTCAGATATTTGTGAAGATAAGTTGCCATATCAAAAGTTAAACGAATTTTGAAATATTTGTTGAAAACTAAACATTATTGAGATATTCTAAAGGAAGAGCAGATTTAGAAGGTTTCGTAGATGCAGATTGGGCCAATGATGCCAATGACAGACGTTCATACACAGGTTTTTGTTTTATGAAATCTGGATCTGCTATTTCTTGGGAAAGTAAGAAGCAACGGACAGTTGCATTAAGTAGTTGTGAGGCCGAATTTATGGCTATGTCAGAAGCTTCTCGTGATGCAATTTATTTACAAGACTTAGAGCATGAATTGTCTGGTGATCATAATAAAATTGTACTGTATAATGATAATCAGTGTATTAAAGCTGGCAAATAATCATCAGTCACATAAACGCTCGAAACACATTGATGTGCGATATCATTTCATCCGTGATGTAATTAATAATAATATAGTTGAAGTAAAATATTTGCCAACTTCTAACATGCCTGCTGACTTACTAACTAAAGGATTATCAGGTGTAAAACACTATAAGTTCATGAAAACACTTGGAATAGTTGAAAAGTAAATGTATTGAGTTATATGTTAAGGTGCAATCAAAATGTAAACAGAATTTTTTAGTTTATTGGGAATTTTTGATATAGTGGGGGTGTTGTGATTGATATCAAAAATGTAAATGATTGCGCCATCTAGCGTCACCAATGTGACACTCTGTACTCATTCTGTCTTTCTCAAATAAAAGCAGTCTTTGGTTAACTGCCAACTCGTGCGTTTTACTACACATCTGATGCACTGTATAGAAATAAGGATGCAAGAAATAAATCCTGGGAGGATATTGTCACCACATTATACGAAAATGTTATGGAGGAAGAAAAACAACAACTTGGTAAGTGTTTTATTTATTTATCTTAGAATACCTACACTATCCGACGAACAAAGCATTTGAGAGTTAAAATATACATGAGTCTTGCCAGGACACCCTACCATTAGGACTCAAAAAATACTCAGCAAAATGTTCTCGCAGAGCGTTGCCAGACCTGTTTATAGGTACAGTTGGTATTTCCACCATACCCTCAATTGTAAGTGTATCTTCAATACTATAACCATCGCGCACTCTAATAAAATTATGCAATATACAGCATGCTTTAACTATGTTCTTTGTAACATTAAAACCCACACTAATAGGTGTACGAAACACTCTGAACTGGTTTGACATTATACCAAATGTCGATCCTATATATCGTCTACTACGGCTCAGTCTATAGTTAAATATTTTTTTCTTATGTGTCATGTTAGTTCGCGCATATGGCTTCATGATTTTGTTAGATATTCCAAAAGCACCATCACCTACAATGACATGCTCAACTGGTGTAGTTGTTCCAGGTAGTGGCTTCGGTCCTGGTATATTCAGAGTATTATTTTCTAAGCTTCTGTATAGTGTACTGTCTTGGAATATAGATGAATCAGAGTTTTTTCCATATGATCCAATGTTTACATATGTTAAACAATAATCTGCATCGCACATGGCCAGGAGAACTACAGAGTAGAAATTCTTGTAGTTGAAGAACATTGATCCACCACCGTCTGGATTTATCATTCGGATGTGCTTGCCATCGATAGCTCCGCTGCAATTTGGAAAGTTGGTCTTCTGTAGGAACCCGTTTGCAATTTTTTGCCACATATCAGAGGTTGTTGTTGGTATGCATTCCTCGTGTAGTGTTTCCCATATTACCTTACAAACTTCGTTTACGATTAGACTAATTGTTGCAATTCCAATCCTGAATGAATAATGCAGATCTGTATATGTCCGACCCGTAGCCAAAAATCTGAAAATAATAAATGTTTTTATTGTTTCAGCAAAACTGATTCAACAAAGATGGAAAACAGCCAGAGATGCATATTTTAGAACAAAAAACGCTATAAAAAAACACCTTCTGGAAGTGCTGCACTAAAGTACAAAAAGTATATCTATTTTGATGAACTAAGCTTTCTGACTCAGTCAGATCTGAATGAAGTTGATGAATCTCTGAAAGAAAACACACCAGCAAATATGGATAATATGGCATTACCGGGGAATACGGTACCTTCTGAAACTACACAAGATTCTGATATGCCAACGCATCAAGCTTCTTCAAATACTCTACAGAAAGACCAGAACGACCATGCTGTTGATTCCGGAACATCACAAAGACCTTGGAGTCAAAAAAGAAAAAATAAGCCACAACAAAAAAACCAAGAAAATTCACCGTTTGAAAGGGATTTGTTAACATTACTGAAAAATCAAACACCAGATATTGCCACTGACGATCTGGCTTTCGGTCGGGAGTTTTGCGCGATGCCATGGAAATCAAAAATTACAATTACCGATCAAACAACTCGTTATCATCCCACTCGCATGATATAAGATCTCCGCCGCAAAATGATCAGTATGGGTCCTCATCATATAATAATACGACTCCATATGAAACCAATATTGCTACTCCAGGTTACTTTGGGTATCAAACAGCCAGCAGTAATGACTAATAATAATATGAAAAAAATGTTTTTTCCTATGAATATTATACTTTATGATAATTTATATAAATGTTTTTTTCTTACCTTAAAGTCACCATCAGTCTTTCAATCGGTGGTATAGGCACACGTCGTAAAGTGGAATGGACCAGTTTATCTTCTGTCTTTGCCAGTAATTCGTCGAAAGTTCTAGTCGACATCCGAAAGTAATTGAAGAATTTTGTTGCATCAGCCCTCAAAGTGACGTATAATGTAACAAATTCTCCTGTGACGGCTCTCTGCTCAATCAATGGATGAACATGAAGTCTTCGTCGCCGGTTAGTCCTTCTTTTCCATACATAGTACAAAGCAGCAATGATTATTGCTCTCCGCATTTTGCTTCTGCGACTGTACTCCGTGGCGATCAGCACGATACTAAAACGTTTCGCGCCGACCCTCGGCGCTGACAAACCACGCGCTGAGCTGTCAGCGCTGACATCAGCTTGACACTAAAACCAGCCTTAATAGGCAGAAGAAGCAAAGTGTCCTTAAAGAATAAGACAATCATGATTCAGATGGTGCTGCTCCAAATCATGACTTAAGTAGCCCACACATTGTGAGATCTTCCTCGCGACATGCCGCGAGACCAAGATCTCTGATAACAAATCTCATGGTGTGTGTTGCGGTATCGATAATTTTTGTATCGTGTGATACCGTCTCAACGAGACCGACGCGGGCGGGAGACTGAGACTTGCCGCGAGGAAAAATCTGACCAGTCTCAACGTGTGTGCCAAAGTCGCATGAATCTCGTGAGATTTCGTTGTTCCGAAATTGTTATAATTATTATATGTAATAAAGAAGATGAATAAGGAAAGAGAATTTTGGGAAGAATTTATTGAAATGTACAGGAGCAACCCATGTTTATGGGATGTGAAAGCTAAAACGTATATGGATAGAAATTTGAAAAACTCAGCGTTAGATAGACTGGTGGAAAAATGCAAAGAAATATATCCAATGGCAAATAGAGATTATGTCTCAAAAAAAATACATAACATGCGCTGTGCTTTTAGAAGAGAGCTGAAAAAAGTACAGAAGTCGAAGCCTACGGGTACACAAGCTGATGATGTATATGTACCCAGCCTTTGGTATTTTGACCTGTTAAGTTTTATTTCGGACACTGAAATCCCTAGAAAAGGAATTGAAACTATTACTAGCGAAGACGAAAGTCAAGAGAGTGAAATAACAGTAAGTAGTTTATTATTTTATTTAAGACATTTCAGTATAAAAACTTAATACTCTTTAAACGACCATCCTGTCCTGAAAATCGGTTGCTCCGCTGTTATTGAAATAATTTTTAAAATTATCTCGAATTTCTCTCGCAGACACATTTGAAGCACGCGCTATTCGTTGCAGAGGTATAAGTTCTCCTATTTCTCTCCACTGGCCAGGTATTATTTCTCCGGAATGTACGTCTTCAGAGTCTGCATACAATGGCGGTATATATCGATTTGAGCCATTTCGTGTTAAAAAGTTGTGTAATGCACAACTGGCTAATACTACAGCATCCACATGTCTTACATTTATGCTAATTATTGTGTGAAAAATTCTAAATCGTGAGGCCATAATACCAAATGCATTTTCTGATACTCTGCGTGCTCTACTGAGTCGGTAGTTAAACATTTTTTGTTCTCTTGTTAAATTTTTGTCTGGATATGGTTTCATTAAATTTTCAGTTAATGGAAAAGCCTGATCTCCAACAAATGTATATGGTAACATCACATTGGTTGCATGGGGTTCTGTCGGATCGGGCATACATAATTTTTTATTTATAAGCTTTTCATAAAACTTGGTTTCACTCAAAACTCCACCATCTGATACCCTACCATTGGTCCCACAATGAACCATTATAAATTCGTATTTTGCATTTGCAATTGCCATTAGCACAACACTAAAGTTTCCTTTATAATTATAATAATATGAACCACTGTTTCTAGGTTTTTTTATTTGTATGTGTTTTCCATCGATCGCACCCACGCAATTGGGAAATTGCCACAAACATTCGAACTCCTTTGCAACCCCGCGCCATTCTTCCTCGGAAGATGGAAACTGTAATAAAAAAGTAGTATTAAATTGTTTGAATTAATAATAATTATTTGTTTTAGAATCAAAACAATGTTCGAGATGAGGACAGTTATGATAACGCTTTTTCTCCTCCTGCTCACTCGGAATCTTTACCAAGTACTACTAGGCCAAGTTCATCGGCTTCAACATCAACTCCAACACTAGGAACTAAAATATTAAAAAGAAAAAAAGGAATGGAGGAGAAAAAAAATGAACTTGTGGAACTAGCTCATAGGGCTTTGTCTAAACCCCCTACATGTGCGGAACCTGAAAATCCCTGCGACATAGCAGGAAAAAAATTTGCTTCTGATTTAAAGCAAATGACATCTAATCAGAGAGTAATTGCAGAAAAGCTTATAAATGATGTAATGTACTACGGCAAACTGAATAAGTTAAATGAAAACTTTGAAGTACGACAGGCCCGCACCCATGTGGAACCGAGTAATACTTTTTCCAATATAGCTTATACAGTACAGCAATCTGAGCAGCAACCTCAACAACCAACTGCACAGGGAGATATTTATTCATATTATGAAAACTTCCAAGACTAGTTCTGCCACTGGAATATTACGTTAACTGTATTACTACTCGTTTACTGAATTATAAGTATTTTTTGACAGCATTAGCTAAGTTTAATGTTTAATATGTTTTGCATTTAAAATAATAAAAAGTATATTATAAAAACGTACCTTCAAATACTTTTCCTTTAAAGCGTTGTATATTGCCCAGCAAGTTTCTGGAATAATTTCACCCAGTAACTGTGGAGAAATAGCACAGGAAAATTTCAGATCTTCATAATTTCGACCAGTAGCTAAATATCTAAGAGTAACGACCAATCGCTCTTCAGCTGATACCGCTTCTCTTAATACAGTATTTTTCTTTTCAATGTCTGGCCGGATTAAATTTAAAAGAAAATTAAATTGTTTTTCGTTCATACGCAAATAGTTCAAAAAATCTTTGGGTTCTTTTTGCTGCAATTCTTTTAAAAGTGGCATGTGAGAGAACTTCTTCCTTTCAAGAAACCAATTCTTTGACCATTTTCTTTTTTCCTGTTTTTCCTCGAATAGTACCAAACCAATGGCAACACCAAGTGCAACTTTTTGTTTTTTTGAATATTCATGAAAGGCCATTTTATATTCACTCTCAAAAAAATAGCGAACTGTGTGATACCGTCTGCGATACTGTCTCAAGGTGTGGGGTGACGAGTGACTGGGGACTGACGTCTGCCGATATCATGAGACCTCGCCTCGCGACGTACCTCGAGGCAAGTCTCACAGTGTGTGGCTTACTTTAAGCAGCAGTAGCTTGGGGCTACGTTTCCAAAACATTGAAGAAGAGGCTCCAAGCTCAACAAAACATAGCACTCCGTGAGGCGGTGGACGCACCGTGGTATGTACCTAACAGAGTGGTATATGACGAACTACGACAGGTACTGGTCGTAATCCAGATGAGAGAGAGGGCCCGAAAGTACTTTGAAAAGAACGAAAGCAGCTGATAAGGCCAAAGAAAAGGGGAGAAGGCCGACAATAGTTGTACACCCAAGAGGGGAAAGAACAGCCCGTGTACAACGGGTGGACAAAAACAAGCCGGTCGATTGAGATGGCCAGAGTCAAGCACGGACTCGGGGCTAACCTCAGGAGACGAACGACAAACAGCAATATGACTGACTGACGACGGACTGACTGAATCCCGTCGACGAGGAAAGAGCGAAGGCTCACCAACCTTAATGCGGGGCGTAGGTCAAAGCTCCCAGCGCAGGACCCCCATAAAAGTCGAGAACCAACAGTTGGATGAAACGTCCACCACGTGCTTCCGCGATGGGTGCGCGATCGAGTCAATTTCGGGAAAAAGGGGCAAAATTGGGGAGGGGGTAGCTCGCTCGGCAGCACACACTCGGGGAATGCGCAGCGCCACTCCGGGCCTTCGGGCGGGAGAAATTACGTGCTCATACTTTTATAAAAACTCCGGAAAAATATTACGAAATTTATGCCAAAAAGGGGCATGTTAGAAAAGTCGGTATTGATTGGGAACTGTTAGATATAAAAAAGGCATTACAGTGACTGAAAAAGATACTAGAATTAAGTGAAACCAAAAGAATAAAAATCATCAGAAAGCCGCAATCGGGTGAAGACAAAATTCAAAAGTACATAATGTATCTTCTGTGTCGTACAAATTTCAAACAATGGTTAGATTTATTTTAGACTACCAAAGTGTTTAATTAAATTAAGTTTTATTTGACTAATAATTTTAAATTGTTGTCAGTTGAATCAATCGAAAAGTCGTATAATTGCAAAATGTATCTTCTGTATCTATTCAAGTTACAAACATTGGTTATAAGAGTTGTAAGAATAAATTTTCTCGCCCATCAAAAGTGGATTTGATTAC